GTAGGTAACGTACAAAGCACATTCAACTGATTCAGATCAGTTGCTTTGTTAAATGTCTATCACCACGATCTCTTCTCTTTCACACATATCTCCCTCTTCTCCCCTGGTTCGTTATGCTCCCTTGCTGCCACCCTTCCTTGGTGAGACGGTGAGGTGCCTGGATTTGCACCGTGCCTGGCACAGATTGACTCCCAAGGTCGCTGCCACCTTTGGGTGTGCCCCAGATCTAACAATGGTGTGCTCTTCGTTATACTATCGCAGCAGGTTACCCTGTACCTCTTACTGATTTTTGAACTGTGCTCCGGTAAGTCAACTCCCAAATTAGGTAGAAAAGAGCGATACATTGTAGAGGTAAATGAGCCATTTATTTCAGGAGCAATCGGTAATAAGAAGCCTGGTTACTGATTTACTGCAGAGCTCGGTTAGAAGTGCTGTGGAACAAATGGGTTTTGTGGGGAAGCACTTCTGAAAAGGAACAATAAATACAATACAATAACAACAAAACTTGTATCAAAGATTTGAGCAGAAAGAGTGAGGTTCAGTCTCTAATTTGGGGAAAACAAGAAAGGGAAAGGAAGAAGAGAAAAAAAAAGAAAAAAGGAAAAAGAAAAAAAGAGGGAAAAAAAAGAAAAAGAAAAACAAGTAAAAGAGAATGATTGTGGCAAAACTACTGCATGCAAATAAAATCGATATTAGTGAAAAATGAACTGGGACTCATACAGAGCAAACTGTGTATAATTCTGCCCCAAGGCAGATCGTGCATGTCTTTTTTCTCTGATTTTCTACCCTTTATTATGGCTTTTAGAGGATTAACTGCCCAAACCAGCTTCACTAAACATTCCTTAAAAATAAATAAATAAATAAAAATTAAAAAAGCTGCATAGATGTCATGGGAATTCCACTTTGGAATGAAGCAATAGAAAAATAGGACCTCTGGAGATCACCTGTTCTTCTCAGTGCAAGCATGGACTTCTTTCCCGATTATATGAAAAAAATATTTTCAAGGCTATCAGAATGCATGAAAATGTTTCTGAAAATTCTGCTTAAGTGAAAGCTATACATTAATTTGTAGAGAACTACATATAGGAGATGTATTTTTCTAATGAATAGAGTAATTTAACAGTAAGTGTAACAGTCAATGTGCAATTACTGTTCACTAATCATGATAAGTGTCTCTCTCAATTGCACATATAACTTACTTTTACATGTATATCAGCTTGGTATTTTGTAATATTCTGTTTTATTCACAAATCTATAAATACTCTACAACCTATTATTATTTTAAAAAAATATCTCAGATTTGCAAAGAAGGAACCTATTAAAGGCCAAATGCAAGTGGAAATTGTACAGAATGTGATCCTATTTTACATGGGGAAAAAAGCTTCTAAGAGCCATAAAAAGTTAACTGAAATTTAAAACACAAGAAAGAGTATGAAAAGATCAAATGAATCATGATTAGGGATTACATTTTAAGAAATTATTCCAAGACACTTCGGTCATAATAAAAAAGGAAACTATAGAATAAATAACAGGTTAATGTACTAGGAATGAAAGTAGTAGAAAGGTCAAGGAATTCTAGATACATTATTAACAGTGAAGAAGGATCTTAGACGAAGCTTTGAGTTAAATGTTCTGATGGATCTGGTTAGGGCTTCATATACCATTTCATAAAGCAGGACAGTGTGAGAAAAGTAGCATTTATAACAGGAACCTTAGGAATACCACATGTAGTTTATTCATTGAGTTTGGAGCAGTAATACATCCTGGGTGCTTTGCAAGACAAGCAAGGGCATATTTTCTTCTCCAAATAACTTATATTTTACTGACTAGTTTTCAGATGCCTTCAGCAGAAGAACTTCAGCCGAAGCTGGGACAGTTCATCACTTTGGAAAACTCACGCCCCAAATCCAGTGCCACAGTCAGTGCGTCAGAAAACAGAAGGAGGAACGATGCGGGTGACAATAATGAAATCACAGTTACTTAATAAGACCCAGATCCTCACAAAGACTCTTAGCTTTAAACATTTCTCTAATCCTATTGAATCACGTGCAAATCGTGACGGTCCTTTAAATAGTGGTGTGTGCATGCCCTAAGTAACGGCACATGAGGCTGGGCATGGCCATGGCTGAAAGGCATTTGGAAGTGAGGAGGGAGAAGGAGTTCAGTGAAATAAGTTTGCCTGGGGTTTTCCAAACAAAACATGGGCAGAGGCCCCAGGTAGCCCAGAATAAGAGCAAGTCCTGGGTTTGCTCAAGACATGCTGTCAGCAGCAAGGTGAGGGTTCAGCTGGCCTCACTGCTTGTTTTGTGGAAATATTAGCAGCAGGCTGCCTCTGCCCCTGCCCCTGCATGTAGGCTGTCCCCCCTGCACGTATAAATACCCAGCTCCTTCCCCAGCAGGCTGCGGGTAAGCAGCTGGGGAGGGAGCCGGTCGCCCCTAAGCAGCTTAGGGCCGGGAAGCTCAGAGCATGCAGATGGCATCCCCCCAGCACACACCATGCCGCTGCCATTTCCAGAGAGGTGTCTCCCACTCTGAATTTTGCTGGGGCAGACGGAGCAGCCTGCTGAGCACAAAGCAGCAGAGCTCCATCGGCTTCTGGACAGAAGCTTAAGGAACCAGTGTCAGAAAGAACAGGGGGACATAAATGGATTTTGAAAGTGCTAAAAATCATCATCTTCCAATACCACTTTTACCACCCCATTTCTGGACTCACCTGTATTTCCCACCAAGCGCAGTGCAACATTGGTTACTCAGCATCTGGCAGAAATGAGCAGAATCCAAATCCTCTGTGCAGACAGGTTTTGCCCTGGGGATGCACATCTTCCCTTGTGAAACGTGGTACATGTGGACGAGCCCACCCGGCAAAACAGCACAACACCAGCCAGAGCCAGCAGTGAAAACAGGCAGAGCAGGCTGCTGTGTGAGCAAAAACGCCTTGCTGGCTCCGTTACCCCAGTTCTCTGCTCATTGTGTTAGGGTGAACCATTAAATATTTGGCAGTTGTGTATTTGGCAGCTCCCTTGTAATGCAAAAGGCATTTTTTCCCCTTTAGGCTGCAAAATGGTAACCTGGATCCGCAACTCACTGTACATTCAGGGAAGGAGAGGAAGTGACAATAATCAAGCAAGGAGAGCCTAATTGATAACCCCCAGGGATGCAACGTGTTCACCAACAGGCTGTAAAGGGATCTTGGTGCTGTCCACTAATGTCTGACATATGCGATATTTAATTACCTGCACTCAGCTTTTAGGCGAAGAAGGTGTGCAGTAATCCTTGCTGGAGCTGAACCGAGGAAATAATATTTATTAGCTGGGGGCCTGGTTTAGAAACAGATGGGACATAAAGAGCTTGAAGACAGCGTAAAGGAGTGTGAAGCGGGGGAGATTAATTGTTAAGTAATTGTTGAGTAATTGAGAGGGGAAGTGTTGGATGCATAGAGCACAGGGCAACAGGGATCTGAAGCTGCAGGACTTCGCTGGGACAGAGCTAATTTTCATGGCATATTTCCAAAAGTGCCACCTAGCTGCCTCTTCTCTGATCTATGCCCACCTCATCCCTCTTTACCCTGTCCCCCGACTCTTCCTATTTTGTCTCTCTTGCTGGCACATGGAAGTCGTGGCATAAGCAGAGCAGGCAGCAGTAAGCAACTCCTGAGGCAGGAATTATCACTGAAAGATTTTTTTTTTATTTTTGCTGCCATTGAAATCCTCATTTTATTTTGCACTTAGAGCCACAGAGCAGGTGACGGACAAAACCAGCGGACTGGTGTTGTCCAGGGATTGGGTACTGGGGAGAGACACTCACTGCTCACGTAGCTCCATCAGACAAGCTGCCCGCCCCCCCAGCTGCGGGCTCCATCCCCGGGATGGGGTCGGGGCGGCGGCCAGCAGCGCTGCCCCGTGTCCCCCCCCCCCAGCATCCCCGGAGCGTTTCAGCGGGGCGGGCAGGGCTGAAAGCCGGGGGAGGAGCGCACACACCTGCAGCTGCCGCCCCCTGGCCGCCCCCGGGGCTGCAGCGCAGGCGCGGCCCCCCCCGGTGCCCGGCGCTGCTCCCAGGCTCGGCGGCACCGTCCCGGTCCCAGTCCCGGTGCCATGGAGGAGAGCCCGGGACAGCCGTCGGGGAGCGACCTCCCGGGGGCAGGGGGCGGCGAGGAAGCCGCAGCGGCGGCGGGGAAGCCGGAGCTGCCTCCTGAAGGGGCTGCGGAGCCCCCCGCGGGACCCCCGGGTGTGCCCCCCGACGGCGGGGCGGGACAGGAGCCGGCCGGGAGCGCGGAGCCCCCCGAGGGAGGCTCCCCCGGGGGACGGGAGGAGACCCCCGGCGAGGGGCAGCAGTCGCCGTCGGGGGCAGAGGAGCCGGAGCCCGTCGGGGATGGTGCTGCGCTGCCGGGGGGGGGAGCGGAGGGCTCGGTGCTGGCCGAGGGGGCAGCGGAGGAGGCAGAGGAGGCGGCCCCGCTGCCCACGGGCCCCGAAGAGGCGGCAGCGGCGGCCCCGACGGGGCCGGGCTCCGAGGCTGAGGCTGGGGGAGCGGAGCCCGAGGAGGAAGCGGCGGGGAGACATTTGGGAGAGGAGGTGCAGGGGGGAGCCCCCGATGAGGAGGAGAGGGACGAGGCCCCGCTAGGGCCGGAGCCCCAGGATGGGGAGCGGGAGGAAGCCCCGTCGGGGGCGAGCCCCCAGGCGGCCGTGGAGGAGGCTCCGTCGGGGGAGAGCCCCGGGGAGGCTCCGGCCGGGCCCGAGGAGGCTCCCGAGAGCCCCGGGGAGGCGGAGGGCGCGGGGCTGGACGGCGAGGACGGAGCCGAGCCCCGGCCGGAGACTGGGAGCGGAGCCGAAGCCCCCGGGGCAGGGGGAGGCGGCGAGGAGGCGGCGGGGCTGCGGCTGAACGGGGTGCGGGGCCGGGCGGAGGATGAGGAGGATGGGACGGGCTCACCGGCAGCGCTGGAGCAGGAGGAAGAGGAGGAGGAGGAGAAGCAGGAGCACGACATCTCCCTCTTCGTCAAGGTAGGGCGCGGGGGGCTGGTGGGGTGCATCTCAGCCGGGTTGGTGACCCTTCCCTTCACCGGGACCCCGCGGGCAGCTCCTGCGTTTAAATCTGGCAGAGCAAGGCGATTTGGTGATGAACACCCTAAATACACCTGCCTCCGACCCCTCATTCCTCCTGTGCTTTGGTGTGGACAGGACTAAGCTCCCCGCTTGGTCACGGTGCCCGCACCCCCAGCCCCACAAGCTGTGGGACCACACGATCCCACTGGCACAGACCTGACTGCAAGGTGGCTTCCCCCAGAGATTCCCCCGCAGAGCCCTGTGCTGCATTACTTGAGGTTTCTTCAGGTTTAAATGGAAAGGATGCACAAGGAACTCAGTTTTGGTGGATTGAGAGAGCCTCCTCTGCCCCCAGGCTGGACAGTTTGGGATTCACAAGGCCAATAAAGTGCCCAGCAACGTTACATCCCTTTCAGTTGTCCAATTTGCTTGTGTCTGGGCAGGGTTAGAGGAAAATAGAGCAAAAATAAATAAATTGTGATGGTCTTTAAAATAATTTCTGCCATTTTCGTGTACTGGAAAAATGAGCAACGGTGATGATTGATGTTGGTGAACGTGCTGCCTGGTTTAGGCGAGCCCTTGGAGCCCAGGCTGGGATGCTGTGGCATATACATATAGGTGCCTTTTTGGGCAGTAGCAGGGGCTGAGCTCTGTGCTTGTGTGTCAAGCAGCAGGAGCTGCCACTGCTCAGCCTGGCTGAAGTGACTTTGTGCTCGCCTGCGTATCGCCCTTGTGCCTGTTTCGTACCCGCATGCCCATCAGTGAATGCTGGCGCGTGGCAGAGGGTGAAAGTCACGATGGCTGCGTGTGTGCTGCTGGACCTGGGTGCACTCTTTATGGAGAACATGGCCAAAATTAAAGAGCAGGCTCTGATAAGGATAAGAGTAAATGCTGTGACTCTGCAGTCCCCAAAATTAGGACTAAGGATGTTTTTTTATAAATATTTGTGAATGAACAAAAACCAGAGGAGCGTTTTCATGATTGATTTAGCATTAGTAACTCACGGATGCCTTGAGAACACTGCAGCTGCTTTTCTAATGGTATCTTTCTAATGATTTTCTAATGTGGAAAAGTGTCACAAAGTTTGAAAATTTTACCTCATCTGGGAGCTAAACTTTTTTAGTTTGATATCAGCACAAGCTTTTTCCAGTTACATCTACGGGAAAAAAAGAAAAAAACAAACCCTATGGGAGAGCTCAGCATCTCCCTGCTGACCAAAATGTGCAGGGCTGGCAGTGCTGGGAAATGGGAAGCAGTTTTCTCTTACGCCTTTGTGGGTGAATTCCTGCTGCTCTTGCTGTCACCCGGAGATGCTCTCGCTGTCTTTTGCCAAAAGGAAAGGAGGTATAAAAGGACTGGAAACTCTCTGTACTAGCTTGAAGTGTTTTAGGAGCATGTGCACAATGTTATGCTTTAGTAGCTGCTGCTGGGTTTTGACAGGAGAAAGAAGGAAAGTGGTTTCCAAAGTGAGACAGCATGAATGGTTGCATGTGGGGATTCTTGTGTCCTTATACCTGACCTCAGCAGTTGGTCCACAGGCATGATGATCCTTCCTGAGCAACTCCTAAAATCCAAAAGTTAAGGAAGTGAGGTGATGATCCAAAATGAATGCAAATGTTCATTTCCAGCCTGAAATGCTTCCCTTCACATGCATGTTTCTAATACACCTGCCACCCCGCTGCTCATGCTCTATTAAATCAGTGTTACATGACTGTCTGTTACTTCAAAATGCTTTTGAGGTGTTGTCACCCACCTCTGCTTTGCAAGTGCCACTGACCTCTTTCGCCCTTCAGCTCCCTATTTTTCTGCTCGTAGGAACTGGGCAGCGATTTGGCTGTTCAAGACAGCGGGATTGTTGTCTGTCCAGTTAAATATGGTCCTAGTTCGTTTGTTGTCGCTATTTCTGCTCGTCTGCCTGCTGAGTTTTGGCTTATTTGTAAGTGATCAAGATGTTGTCTGTGTGCTATCTGTGCCTGCACGCACAGTGCTTGAGATAGGAGGTCTGTGCCATCATGTGATACTGCAACACAAATAGATAGTAATGTTAAAAGCAAGCCCCATAATAGGAGAAAAACGACTAAAAAATATAAGTGATAGTGACTGATCCTCAGTTTCCCTGCTAGGGAGCTTTATACCAGATGTGGCTGACATTAAATTTCTTGCTCTGCTTTCAGTAATAAAGCTTTGAGAGTAACAAACGGAAGCATCACTGTCAGAAAGTAAGCGGGTCTTTTTCAGATCCGACTGTGAGATGACTAGTCACAGCATTTGCTTCCCGTTTGTACCATTGCTGATCATGAGCTTGTTCTTTCAAATGTGAAGGCCTTTTCCTTGCCTGCTTCCTGCTGCTTTGCATGGGTTCGCTCCCATTTTGCCTGCACGTTTGAATATCGTGACGATTGTGCTGTCCCGTGCCTCCCCCTGTGAGGTGGGCGGCAAAGTTCCTGCCAGCTCCACAAGAATGGGTGTTGGGAACTGTGCTTTTAAGCTGATTTGGGTTGCTATGTGTTGCTGTGTAGTTTGAACTTGGACAGTTCAATGCAGAGATCTCATACCAGAGCACTTAGCAGGGTTAGCAGCCTTTGTGGAAGATGATGTCTTTCTGGACCAGCAGCTAGGTGCCAGACAGGCTACTGTAAGGCATCCCCAAAGACAGCAGATATTTGTCTTTAGGAATCCAGACCATGCCCATAATGAAGCTGAACAGCAAAAGACTCCTAGGCTGTAAGGGTAACACCGTATCGAAGCATTTCTCCAGGTACTTATTTGATTTCCACTTTCCCATGAAACAGCACGTACCGTGTGTTTCCTTTAGATAGGGATGTTTGATGGCTTTCAAAGGCAAGTGTTTGCGAAGGGCATTCAGATATACTTTCTGGTTGGGTAGGACACTGGTCTTCTAAGAGTAAGCATGTGTATGTTCTCTTCCCCTTCCCCGCTCCATGGTGAGAGCCCTTTATTTGTCAAAAAATGACATATATTTATCTTTCCATTTGAATTTAGTGAAATATTCAGTTATTTTTAAGCAATCTAAAAATTCATGTAGGGTTTAAGTCTATTTCTAAATTAAAGGAACAAAAACCACCACCACCAAAAACCTGCAAGCTTATCTACCAATCAATTTAAAATTTTCTCACAGACAGACAACTTAAACACTGGAATCACAACTACAGATTTCATCATGCCAAAGATTTCTGGGGATACTGATTTTGCTGTAAGTGCTGAGCACAAGCAACCAGACAAGCCGGCTTGAGCACAAGGTCTTCTCTGAGATTACTCTTCCAAAACAGTTTTTGTTTAGCTTCAGGGTTAAATTTTTTGTAGTAAAAGCTGCCCCTGAGCCTAAGGCAATAGATTTTATCCAACAAAAAGTAATAAGCTTCACCCAGTTTTTGTGACATTCTTGGTCTCTAAATCAAAGTCATTTATTTTCATTCAGAGAGTTATTTTATCCCTAGCAGGGAGTGAGGTTACTTCACTGATACCAAATTTCCTTGTGCCATTCCTTGAGATATGTCAGGTCAGTCAAACACGCTTAGAGATGTGCTGAATTATCAAAATTTCTGATAAACCAGAAAGTTAAAGTGCCAGAAGCCTTGCTGTGACTGGAGACAGAGGAAATAGCAAGTGCCTCCATCCGTGCCTCCAGACACCACAGTTGACGTATCCGACTTGAGGGGCAGTGTGTTACGTGCTAGGGAAGAACCAACCCCATTTTCTGTGATGTGGTGGACCTGTAGCTCATATATAAATTCAATTTGAAGTACAAAATGGCTGTCCTAAAACTCAAGAAGTCCATAGACAGCAGGAGCTCAGGTCCCTAAAAAAAATCATAGCCTTTATGCCCATTCAGTAGACTCTGTTCTGTACCTGATGTAAGCAGTTACAGTATAATTACTGAGTAGATACTTAAGATTTTGATTTTTGCTCATCAGTGTAAGGAGTCTGTAAGTCAGATAGGTATTGTTTACAAGAAGAATGGCTGATATCCTGTATCAAAGTGAAAATATCTAAAAGAAAATACTGCCTTCTTAATGTAGATTTGTTGTAGGAAGTCAGGATTTAAATGGACTCAGGAGGATGGAAGTAAAGATGTGTATGTGGGAAGTTATGCTGCATCCTTATTTATGGATTAAATGAAGTTTTGGGGGAAGCTGAGGTAGTGCATATTTATCCAAGCAAAGGGATAAGAGCCCTTTGCCCAGATCTTGCAAAAATGACTGCATTGGACTGGTGAAATGCTACAGTAAGATAAATTGCTGGGGAATTAGCAGGGAAACAAATTAAATTTGATGAAGTTTGGGCAATAGTAGAACCAGACTGCTGCTCCTTCCATTCTTTCCCCCACCCCTACCAGTGTTTCACCTTCTGTCAAAACCATGCCCTATTTTCCCCAATGAGCACACCCACTGCTTTCTCCTTGCTCAGTTCTCATCCTTCCCAAGCCGCATCTTGTGCACCTTCCTCAGAAAGCAGGAGCTTTTACGTTGTTTCCCCCCCACACCATCCTTTTTGATACAGCTGGCTATGGGACCTGTCAGCTTCTGTAACCGAGGAGTAAGGAAAGCTATCCTAAAACCAGAGGGAGAAGGGGTTCAGAAGAAAGCCGGCGTGGTGAAGCAGGGCAGGAGCACGGTGTGCCGAAAGCAGCATCTGGCTGGAGCTGGCCGAGACCGAGCCGAACCAGAACGGTCCCAATTTCCTGGTTGCTGGCTGGTTTGCTGTTTGTAGGACAATTTTTGACTCTGAATCTATCCAGCAGTACACCAAGTACCAGCGCAGGTCAGCAGGTGTGCTTGGTAACACACGTGGGGCGGTGCTGTTTCCGGGAGTGTCTTACAAAGCACGAAACTGGCTGGCTTCCCAGGGGCATTTGCCTTTTCTCAGTTACCTTTTTCTTTTCATTTCCCAGCTGGAATGTGTCAAATCAGGGTTCCCTGGTGCAGCTTAAGAGGACGCAACATTATGAATTTCTTTCGCAAGTCTTCATTTCATTTACTGTGTCTACCCTGTGTGCACCTACACTTGTTTTTCTGGGATCTGAGTATTTGTTCAGCAGTCTTTCAGTAAAAGTTGTGCTTCAGAGACTTCTGTTAAAAAGGCAATATTATCAATCTTTTTTCTCCCAAAGAGCTATGCACACTCTCCTACTTCAGTCTTTTCATAGTTACTTCTCATGCTTTCCTTTTTGGCAGTTTGGGTTGTCACCTTTGTAGGGCTTAGGCTGCTGCAAAGAAACAAAGATCCTTGGAGCTGCTGACTTTAGAATAGCCTGGAAGACCACACTAAAATCCCTGTTGCTACCGTGCTCTTGGAGATATGCTGGCCAGAGCAGTCATGTCTACAACTTGTAGTCCAAATCCTGTTCTACAAAAACACAGTCCAGCAGATCACAGTTATGATTTTTCATCCATTTTTTTCTTTTCAGTATGATCTAGCCAGACTTCTTAGAGCCCCCTTTTTGTCTGTGTTGAAATCCTGAAGCTTTATGTGTGCATGTTATCGTACAAGCTGTAAGCGTCTATTTTTAGTGCAATTGCAGATCTCTGCTGTTTGCAAGCTTGCTTTATGTAAAAAAAAAAAAATATATATATATATATATATAAAACTTGAAAAAAGCAAATGCCTTCAAATCTATATTTCTAGATCTTTTCATATTTTTATTTATTCTCAGTACACTGATTCAGTAAAGCACCTCACTGTGTGTTTTCTTTAAATATAGGTTTAAAATCGCGTGCCACTTAAGCCTTTTGCTAGCCAGAGGTCACTTTTTCTTGATTCAGGCTACAGGCCCATCCTGTATTTCTTGTTCTCTGAAATCAGCAGAAATTTGTGATGAGGTAAGCCTGCTGCCCAAGATCCAGCCATGCCTCTTCTCCCTGAGCTTTGCCATCATAGTAAGGCTGATGTTACCTGCCTCCTGGACCAGGACAGAGCTGGAAGTTTTCCTTGTCCCTGATTGTCAAAGTGAGCCTTTGGCTCATAAATCCTGTGGAATGGCTCCACCCTTCTTTGGAAATGAGGTGATCACTGCCTGATGTGCTATCATGCCTCCGTGCTTGGGACTTCTCTTGCTGCCTGCTTGGTGCTTTGGCCTTTCTTACAGCCTTGTGCTATTTATAGTATGGATCCATGCAAGGGTATATTTAAGGTTATTAAAAAAATAAATATATATATGTATTTAAGGGGAAGTGATAATGGAAATTACTAATCCAGCTACACTTTTTTTAGGAGGTTTATCTCAGATAAGGTCACTTTGAATTGGTGGTTGTATGCTTTTTCTTTTTTTTTGCAGAAGACAGACCCTCCTCATCAGAAATAGTAGGGAGTAAGGCAGGAAAAGGAAATATTCTGTATTTTATAGACGGGGAACTGAAGCAACCAGACTTGCTCGTGGTCCATCACTGACTACATTCAGTTTCCTGGTTTCTCACCCAAAACAGATCCTACTGCCTCTTTTAAAAAGCAAGGAATTGCTCGCTCCTTGGGCTCTGACCGTGGGGTGTAAGTCAATGCCGTGTGAAGGTTGCATGATTATTTTCTTGCCCAGATAATAAAATGTCACGCAGTGATAAGGAGTTGTATGCATTTCCATTTGCAGTGTCTGATTATTTACTGATAAAAGACTGAGCAAGAGGAGTGATTACATTCCAGTTGCTTTCAATAACACGGGCACTGAGGGAAATTGTTTTAATTCCCTAATAAAAATCCTTAGCTTCGCAAACCAAGCAGTGGCAGCTTGTGCTGTGTGCTGTCTGAAAAGGCTGCGGGAGCCCATCCTTGGGATGATGCTCCTCGAGCAGCTCTGCACAAGGCAGATACGTGAAGTGGTGTTTGCCCCAGTGAGGGGGCTGGCTTTGTAGGAAGAGTTACCTTTCTCCTTTTTTTCCCCTCCTAGAGAGGTGATTATTGTGAAAGGACACAGGCAGAGGTGCAAAGGTGATACTTCCCACTTTTTTTCCTCTTCATATGCTGAAATTTCAACATACATTTAAATACTTAGACTAGAAATATAATTGTGACGAATGAAGTAAATGGCAGAAGGATTGGAGTTGCAAATGCATGTCCTTTATTACTAAATTACTAAAATGGAATAGTTAACCATTTACTCAGGTTGCAGAAAAGCTGTCCTTTGTGCCTTGGAGAATCATTGACATTTATGTGGTAATTAATTCTGTGAAATTACTTTTAAAAGCTATTACTGAATCTGAGCTGAAAAAGTAAAATGGTGGTAGATGAAACTTGGAACAGGATCTGAATATGCCCTAAAGGCTTAAAAATGTAGGGGTGTGCGCTGACATCCCTCAGAGCAAGGTGCTGTAGGTACCGGGGCTGATTGTTTTGCAGTATGGTGCATGCAGTATACATTTAAAAACTGTATTTGGATTAGCAGTGCTGTGTTTCTCACAGTTTCCAGAGGGCTGGGAATGGAAATGAGGTGGTAAGGAGAGCAGGATGAGGATAGGCTTTGAATTTGGGTTTCTACTGAGAAACGAGGGAGCAGAGTCTAGTTCTTGTGATGGAGCCCCTGCGTTTTTGCTGTTACTGGTGCCCAGTGTTTTGCTGCTCTTATGGGACCCAGTTTTGCCAGTTTCCACAGGAACTGGCGTTTCTATGTAATATTTTACCTGGTCATTTGAATTATTTTTCTACTTGGGCCAAAATATAAAATACTGTTAAAAAGGGAGGGGAGGGGGAAGAAAACACCACATAAATAAATCCCTCATTTCACCTTCACCTCTGGTTTAAGCATCAGAATTAGGAACACCAGCGGAAAATTATTTTCTCAAGCACTTTCCACCAAGCCTTCATCCACCTACTTCCTCGAGTTGCGTAAAGTAGCTTATTTGTTTTGGTTATTTCTTATTTATTTACTTATTTGCTTACAGTACAAATTACAGATACTTTGTATGTATGTATGTGTTTTGCATTTAGATTGAAAAAGCAGGGCTGTGTTGGTAAGTATCCTACAGTGAAGTGTAAAACAGGATGTGTCACTGAAATACCAGTTAATCTGTTTTTCCCAGACCTATAATGTGTTTGAGAATATAATGCTCTTTTGTTGCAGTAATTCCCTGTAAGAATTTAAAAAGGATATAAGATTTTTGTCTCAATGTAGAATGTTCAACCGGCATCTTGCCATGTTATTAAATACGGATTAGAAATAGCATTGAGGTATTTAAACATAATTCTTGTAACAGGATAAATAGCTAAGAGCATTTGGTTTGTTGCTTGTGTGCTTGTGACCTGGTAGTGTTCCTGTTACACGCAGACGGACAGAAAGAACTCTGCGGGCAAAACTCATAGCAAGAAAAGAAGAAATTTGGGCTTGAGCTGCTTGGTATAAGGTGTAGGGTGCCAGCTGCTGCCCGTGGGCAGGCAGCCTTCCCCAGGGCTCAGCAGCTCAGGTGCTCACCTGCCTTCAGTTAAAAGCCCCCAGTTTTCTTATGCTACTGGGGCTGTTTGAAACTATGGGTAAGAATCTTAAAGTGAGAGTGGGCAAGGATTAGGAGGAGTGATCTTTCTGAGGGCTGTGTATTTTTTTTTTTTTGTTATTAATTACCCAGTGTGTTTCTGTTGTGGTTAACAGATGATGGAATTCCCTCTCCTCACTTCAGAGGGAAATGGGATGGGGGCACCCCTTCAGCTGCTGCCCTTTGCCCCTGCTTAAAACCTCTTCTCAAAAGAACACCTGTTTTATTATTATTTTTGCTTGTAATTTTTTTTTTTTTTTTTTAAAAAAGGAGGTTTTGTCACATCTGCCATTAAAATGAGATGGTTTCCATTTAGGAGGAGTGGCAACAATTACTTACAAACCTTTGAAAAATCTCAGTCACTCCACACAAGTAATACCCATATAACTCAGTACCATCATTATTATAGTACATGATAACTAAAAGTAATGCTATCCTGAATGAGACATAAAGAATAGCTAATGCAACATGACAATTACTTGTGTAGGATAATGTTATTCCTAAATTGGGCAAGATTCATTTAAGCCCTACAAATTTGTAGCCCAAGATTTTCAGTCTTTGCTAGTCACACACTAATGTTCCTATTTATTTTTACCTTGTTGATCTAACAAAGTGGTGGATTCCTGGTTGCTGCTTGCTTTTGTGCTGTTACAACACACTTACTGTGCTGTGGATTCCAGGTAGCTAGGTGCAGGCGTCCTTTATGTTTAGTTAGTTGCCTTCTCTTCACAAGACGTGCTGGTGGTTTCACCCTGAAAGCAGACACAACACTGTCTCAGGTTATGCTGAGTGCCGTAGCTACCACAGTGGCTTTACTTGCAGACCTGGCACAGGTAGCTGTAAAACATGAGGAAATAAATCCGTAATTTGCATCTTTCCTATGTAACTTCATTGGATTTTAGGAATTGTTGGAGTGTACCTGTTGGCTGCCTTTCACTGCCCTGTAGAGAACCACAGTTGCTGTTGAAAATGCCTTTGACAGCATTACAGGTCTGTCCAAGGCTAGCAGGAACACTGCAGGATTGTTTCATACTTCCCCCTTGTAAGAAGTCATCCGTACACAGGCTTAATCTTTAAACCCTTTCATTTGAATAGGAGTTAATATTAGTAAAAGCACAGTCTCCATAAATGTATCACAGGATAATGTGCATTTTAATTTTCATTTGTAGTCTCCTGTGTTGTTTATTTTACAGAATTATTGTTTAATGGTTCATTTATTTACGAACTCAGTCAGAACTGGAGGGCCTGAGTGCTGGCAGACCTGCTGCTCGGTAGATACACTGGGCAGCTTGTGAGTAGCAAAATCAAAAGTGAGTGTTTCATGTAAATAACAGGAATGAGTTTAGGCCTTTCATTTCTAAAACAGTAATAATGAAAGGTCTAATAATTTGTCTCCTTAAAATTGAGTGGCACATTCAGTACTTAATAGTGGTTCTGGAGTTATTGTCATTATAAGTTCTTGTAAATTGATGCCTGTAACTTCTTGGAACAATGTTAACCTTTGAGTTGAAACAGCTTCTGTTTAATCTATTTATTTTTAAATATAATTTGGTTAATACCTCCATTATCACTTAATCAGGTTTGTAGATGCAGTTATTAAAATGGAAAAGGGGGCTGCGTTGTTTTTAGTGTTTTTCAGACCTGTTACGTTGGTCTAATTATTCCTAACAACTTGACAAAGGTAAAAAGTTTATTGCCACAAAGTTACTTCTTAATGAAGGAAAATTTCTGTCTATGCATCAAAAGCATTTAATTACTTACTAAGTAATTAAGTTAATTTCAGCAGTAATTACTTAACCAGCGGACCATGAGTAAGTAAATAAAGTATTAAAAGTTAGAATAATGGAGGCTTTCTCTGTCCCAAAATGGCTGCTGGCACGCAGTGGGGAAGAGAGAACAGAAACCAAAGGAAATTGCAGCAATTTCAGACCTCTTTTCCTTTCTGCCGTCTAGAGAGGATTAGAGCTTCCTGATGTATACAGCCCCTTTAAGCTGTGACCGCTGTTTGCTACGTAAAAGCAGGATGGAGGCAAATGCCCTGCTAAGAAACTCCAGAGCACCGTTAATCCCTCAGCGTGAACTCGGGACCAAAAGACTTCAGAGAACCACTTCCAGCAAAAAGCAAGGCATTTTGGAACGCTCATTCTGAAGGAGCCTTACCAAGTACCTAAATTAGGAAATCCAATAAGACAAAGAAGTCAGTAAAGTAATGCGAATACTGAAGGAAAGAAAGATCTAACTAGTATGATTTCAGAAACCTGACAGAATGAAAAGAGCCGTAATAATCACATTGTTGTAAGACGTTATGAAATGCTAATAGGTAGCCAGTCCATGAGACATGAACCTTGCCCAGGCTTTGGATGTTAAAATATGAGGTAGGAAGGCTTTCATGGCTTTTGCAGGTGGGAGCTCAGCACGAACTCACATTAATGCCAGAAGAGTCCTGCTCCAGGACACAAGCCATCCTGTATTATCAGTAATAACAGCTGGATAGCTCATAATTAGCTAATCACTAATGTACAGCTGCATCATTAAAAACACAGTAGAAGTATACATCTGAATTGTCCTATTCCTAGGTAGGCTCAACCTTTAGCCTACTGCTTACGCTCTGTGGTCACAAAACCCAGTTTAATTGCGTCCTGCGGTTGGTTGGAGCTGTGCGGGTGAGAAGTTAATTCCTTTTACCTTCTTTCACCTACCCTCATTTCCTTTCATTCTTTTTCACTTGGCATCTCTTTTTGGCCTATCCTTGGGTAAAAGCTTTCATCCACACAGCATTTTATATAGTGAGCCTTCTGAGCCCTCCTGGCTTGGGTTGCCGCTTGGGCGTGCTTGCTGTTGGTGAGGACACTGCTGCTGCAGCCATCCTGGGGTTTGTTTGGATCCTGGAGGTGCCTCAAGGCTTGTGTCCCCTTGCAGATTCAGACTCTGTTGCCTTTTGCCATCACAGTATGTGACTACTGGGCTGACGTGTGGATTTTCAGTTGCTATTGATGGGATCTTAGTAGTGCTCCTTGTTTCCTCTGAGTTGGGCTTACCTGGACAGTGGGTAAATATTGGCCTGTATTTCCATGTGTCCACCATTGTTGTAAGCGTATATCAAACATTCAGTGTCAGCACTTAGATTTGCAGTGATTTGCTCAATCCACTTTAAATAAAATGACATTTTACAGTAACTGCTCTCTTCTTCCACAAAAGAGGGTAACTTCTGGCATTGTTTGCTTGTCTGCCTGTTCTTAATACATGGACTTTCTTCATTGCCAATAGCATCCTATCATGCCTGACATCCAGTTGGATAGGCTGGATCTCACTATTAGACATACCATAGCCACAATCTATTTCCATTTCCAAAGAAACATTGAGTTATTTTGGAATATAAACCCTGTTTGGGATAACAGCTGCTGCTTACTGAGCAGCGGCTTTCCCTTCCATCATTGCCCTGGAGTTTGCTACGTGTGTTATCATCACTAAGATGTATTCAGTGGCATGAATGACACTTGCTAGTGTCCTGTTCTTGGAGTGATGTTCATGCTGAGGGTGAGAAAACATTGAGGTCCCAGTGGAGAGTAAGTCTGAGTTCCTCTTGAAGGGGGTGAAGTCTCACCTTGAGACAAAACAGTGGTTTTGCTCTGGTGTTACTTTTGCAGCAGCAGTTATCTGAAGCTGGTAAGTAGTCTCAAAGAGTGGATTTCAGTTCACGTAAGTTTAATTAGATGTCCAAACTATAAGGGGCTGTTTAGGGCTGTAGTTTGAGAAAGCAGTGCTGCCAAAGGGCATGTCATTCCAAGTGGGTGGGTGTTTGAGACAGGCAAGATGAATCAGCCTTGAGGAGTGACTCTCTCTCTGTCTCCACTGACCAGACCTATTTTTTTCTGGCTGACTCTGCGTGAGGTGGCTTCCAGCTTTAGCATGTAACAGCTGTACAGTTTATACCCTTTTTTTTATTTCCTTTCTATTATCCCAGTGCTCAGGGTTATTGACTTGTGGGGTATTGGGTCTATTCCAAAAAGCACTGGTGGATGGTGGACTCCATCAGCAGGCTGTGTTTTATCATCAGATTGTTCTCCACCATCTCTCTGGTTGAAACTCACCCTTATGTTTTATTGAAATGCCTGACAGGACCTCAAAGGCTCCCTCCTGGACCATTGCAGGCATTCATTTTTGTGACTGGGAGGGAGGGAACAGGGAAATCAACGCACCCAGTGGTTCAAATCACCTTCAGCTGCGTTGATGCTCTAGAAGACACTTGGGTTTTGGTTTATCATACCATGTTCTATGCTATGGGACTCTCTGCACTGTAGTGTGTGGCATCCATTGACCAGAATGGAGGGGGTTTAATGTCTGACAAAACCAGGCTCTTCCCTCCAGGGTAGTAGAAGCTCAAGTAGTTGGATGCCCAGAGCTGCCTCCTACCACATTGCTGCTTCCTCCTCCACATTTCCTTCCTGCAGTTCTGTCTAGGAGTGTCTTCAGGGTTTGTACATTTTGCTAATCTGGTCACCTACCCTTTTTAACACATCCAAACACTTCCCAAAGTGAGCCAATTAGCAGACTGGATCATTGAGATGTTAAGTCAGTTGATGCTTTACTTTGTCATTTCTCCTCCCTTGCTGAGTGCAGAGGACTTAAAATGAAAAAGACTGCTTTATTCTGACAACAAAATTAAATCTTCTTGATCCTATGTAACTAGCTGCACTTCAGGTTGTCATTCAAGAGGATGTTTAGCAGAGACAATACTTAAAGGACCTGCCCTATTTGCAGCCAATTTGCTTGTTTAAAAATTAAAGGGAAACCTAAATGCACTGGCTGAGTGTGATTTGAGAGAGAAGTAGGAGAAAGGGGGAGAAGGAGGAAGACCTCTAGAGGCTGCAGCGTCTGCTTTTCAGTTGGTTGTCCAAACTACTAATTTTGCATGTTCTGTGGGATCTATTGCCCCATGTCGGTATGGCTTAGTTTGGGTGGGTGATCATGGGGATTATTTCTTTCTTGAATTTAGTGATCTCACTATTATATCTTGAACCACCCAAACACACACTCCAGGGGTGGTGTAGAGGTGGTGTAGGGTCTTGTCTTACAATTAGCTGAAGGCTGCATCTCTGATGGTCTTCATAGCCCTAAATTGTTCTACCTTGTGCAAGGCAGTGGGTTGAGAAGGGGATCATTCCTGCTCACGTGGAAATGGGCCATGCTACCTGCCAAAGTGGAGTTCACCACAAACACTCTTCTTCTGATGCAGTACTAGAAGTCGTTTGTACTGGAAGGGGAACACTCACATTTGCTCCCTGCTGCAATTAAGTCAGCCGGGGCAGGCTTCAGCAGGAAAAAGAGATCTCACAAGTAACACTGAAGAAGAGGATAGGGAAAATCAAAACACCCTTTTGTTCTTTAGAGAAAGCTTTACGTATTTTACTTGCTCCCTCCTTATCCTGTTTTTTTTTTTTTTTTTTTTTTTTTTCCTTTCTATAGCACAAAAAGAAAAAAGGAGAACAAAGCTATTTTTAGCAGATCGCTTGTAGTTGCACTTACTGTTGCCTCCTTAACCCAAAAGCTTAATTAGGGTTTAGGACAAAGTGTGTTGTTGAACTTGCGTATTCATGGTTGTAATCCTTTAAGTACGTTGTGTGTTGTCTGAACCCTGTAATACTGTTCAAGATGAAAGATACACATCTATAATATTTCTAAATATAAAATAAGATACATTTATTAAAAAAAAAACCGTATGGCATACTTTGGATAATGAAGATGCTCATTTTGCTCTTAAATGAGAAAGGAAAGGGGAAATAAGTCTCTTTCCTAAAGCATCCAGTTGCTGTTTAATACAACTTCCTCATTGAGTTTCACTGTTGGGGATGTCACACACAAGTCTACCCTGGTGAGTACCAAAAATACAATTTGTGCAGGAATCTCAACTAATGGCTGCACTTTAAATACGCATATTTCTGCTAGTTGGCTGAGAAATTAAACAGTGTCTGGAAACATCCGTTTTAAGTGTTGGATAGCAGATAGGCAGAGCTACGTGACTATTTAAAAGTACTGGAATAATTAGCAGCAAAAATTTTATTTTTTCCTATTACAATGGAAATTATTTTAAATTACAGATGCTTTGTTTTAAAACTTATCCTGCAAGTACGATTTCAGAATCTCAAGAGTGCCATTAGCAAAAAGCAAGGAATCTTGCTGCAGAGGTGATGTGCTAACAACGTCTGAGGCTGCTGCTTCTCCTCATCGCTCCAAGAGCAAGTCAAGACTTTAATTTCAAGTCCAGTAGGTGGCATCAAAACAGTTCTGTAAAGTTCAGTGTTTGGATGCTTGTCCCCTAGCCCTAGGGCACAAAGTGAACGCAGTGTTTAAATAGAGAAGATTCCAGGTAATCTGCCTCTTCCTCACAAAAAGCTTTGGTTTGAACATGAGCTTATCCAAAAGACATGCCTGTGGTGTTTCTGTGCACATCGCAGTGTATGGTATGTGTTACCTTAGTGTATTAGAGTTGCCTTCAGTGAACCAGACTGACTTGTAACTATACTTTTATGACACTCTTACCAGAGCAATATTTCAAATTTTGCCTTTTTCAGAGTTGCAGTACTACTGCAGCAGGCATCAAAGGCAGAAACCATGCTTTGTACTCTCAAGGAGCAGATACACTTCTTAAAAATTAAAACAATATATCTGTCAGAATGACAGCGAAACATGGGTATGTCTCGACCCGGTTCTTCCTCTAGATATATGGCAGCAAGCTGCACTGCAGCCAAGCTTGTGTACTGGGTATTGTAGTAGGTATTATAGGTATCACAGTAGTTATTGCCAGGTCTTGCGCTAGTGGGAGTATGGGAGCATGGTCTTGCTGCTTTCCTTGTCACACTGCTTTCTTCCATCCTTCTGCCTGTGCTCCGGGCAGCTTTGTTTCCCAAGGTCTGTGGACATCGCTGCTGGTGAAGTTGCCTTGCAAATGGTCTTTGGTGACCTAACCAACAGTGGGTGTTGTCAGTTCAGGATAATGCGAGATGCTATCAGAGGTTGACTTGCTTTGAAGCAGTGTAAACAAGGAAAGAAAGGTGGATGATTTCAGCTTCTACCCATGCTTTGGTGTGAATAGGTTTTAGATTAGCAGAGCAGCTCGAGTGGAAGGATGTTTGCCCCTGCCCTGAAGCTCTGCCCAGGCTCGGGCCGTCCATGGAGGTCCAGCGGGCAGTGGGATTTCCTCTCTGGAGGAGCAGAAAGCACTGGCATTCCTCCTCCCCTTCCTCCTTGGCTGTCCTGCAGCCAAGTTAGTGGCTGTCCCGGCAGTGCAGCAGGGTGGGAGGCAGAGCTTGCCATGGCAGGGGCCTTGCCTGCCCTGCCACTGCATCCGCAGAGCCCTCAGCACAGCGTGGCCGTGGGGCTGGCACGGTGACGCTCAGCACAGACCAAGAGCTGGCCCTAGGAATGCGCTGGGCTCGCTTAATCCCTGCCAGGGCAGAACAAGCGAGTCTGTGGAAGGAATTAAAGCTAAATGGCTGTTGTTCTCCGAGGTCGCACCCTCCTCACAGCTGCTTCCCACGCTGGGCCCAACGCGTTGTAGTTGGAGCCTGGTGCCTCCAGTTCTCGTCCTTTAAGGGGACACCAAACGTGTCATGAAAAAGGAGAGGGGGGTTGTTAGCGTGGTATGAGAAGGAAGAGCATCCAGAACTGTCTGATAGCTGGGGTTAGAGGCCAAAAACGTGCGGGGGAGTTGTGGCAGGGAGGGCAGAGGCAGATGTGGGGTGCTGGCCCCAGGCAGACAGCTCCATGTCTCCTGGCTGGCGGTGGTCCTGCCGTGCTCACCGGGTGAGCCTGCTTCTCAGCCAGCATCACTGCAGGCCAGGGGTAACGAAGCTCCCTCGTGCAGAAGGAAAAATAGAGTTGGAGTTCAGCTTTCAGGGAAAACAAAAGCTCTGCTCACTGTTCTCCTCTTTATTGTAGCTTCAAAGGGATTATAGAGTTATATAAAAACAAGCAAAATAAAACTCATCTCTGCTCCTTCTGAGCTGTTTCTTCCATGCTTAACCTTCAACAGGAAACAAAAAGTCCAGGAAAAACAAATTCCACTCATCAAGATTTTGGAGGCACAGGACATTTGAGGTCAATAGAAGAACCTTCACAACCCTCGTTCCCAAGATGTTTGGACAAAAACTGCTAGGAAAGGAATTCTTACAGCAGTTCCAGGGCCAGAGCAACTGCAGCTCAGGGAGGGCCTGAACTACTGGTTTGTGAAGGACGTTGTGTGTGACTTCTCAGTAAAGTCACTGTGATTATCCTCTTGATAAAGAGGAGGATGCAGAGGCAAGCGACCTCTTCAAGGCTGCTCAGAAAAGCAGAACTGCTGGATCAAGGTAGTGTAGTTCTTCAACTCTTTCTAATATTGTGTGCATGAGGTCCTGCTGCCTAGGGAAATCAGCTTGTGGTGTGATGATGCTCCTATTTTAGGGTTTAAGCTTGGGGAAAAGGAGGGTGTGGAGAGCTCTTCCCTTTCCCAGCTTCTTTGAGTAAGACTCAGTACACAAAACAAACAAAAACAAACACAACACAAAGAAAAAAAAAGACTGAACAGAGTGTGAAACAGTGAAAAATGAATGAAAATAGGGAGTGTCAGATAATAATCCCATTAAGTAATGGCACATGGTTATGGGATTATGCAGAGCTGTAATAAGTCGATACGGCTACAATATACAATTGCTGCCTAGGGCTCTGAATGAAAGCTGCTATGCACAGCTTGGAAATTTTCTCCTCTGCAGCAATGTCTGTCATAATTGTTTGATTAATGAACTCATTAAATCTCAGCATTACTAGAAAAGGCATGTTGACCTCCTGACTGATCACAATTAAAGCATAAATGCCACTTACTCTAGGCTCTGGTTAGACATCTGCTTAAGCAGCAGGATAGCCCCAAATCCAGCAGGATGTGAATGTTAGCAGAGTGTCACAACAGTTGCATGTGGAGGCAAATGTGTGGCATTACCTGCAATTACACTGGCGTTTGCCTGGTTATTAAGGTTATAACCAGTCTGGAAACACAGTCGTCCATTGAAACAGTAGCCAGGCTCCCGCTGACTTTGCTGGAGTTAGGATTTCACCCTGCGTCATCCAAGAGCATAGCAGTCGGG